TCCACTGGTCACCTATAGAAAACGTGTCCTCCAGCTTCTGGAAACATGAGACTGCAGAGCCCATAGAAGCAGTAACAAAACGGCATCAAAAATGAGTCTAAGTTGGACGTTGAAAGACGTCCACAGCCAGGGCTGGACTGGGGCAAAAAATCAGCCCGGGCATTTTGACTAGTGACCGGCCCACCATGGTATTATAGGAAAAGCCATAAAGCCTTAATAAACTTAAACCTACACCATCCTCCCTATTCTGGTATTCTAAACAGTACTTAGCAAAAATATAAAACAACCTAATTTATAATTACATATAGCTAACTAATAAGGTTGCCAACTCCCAGCAAAAAAAGAAAAAAAAATAGGGAACCACTCCCCCACCCTCTACCTCAAGATGCTTAATTGGCTAAATTGATTTTACTTTAATGCACGTATAAAACAAATGCACAGAAATCTATTATTTTTCTCCAGTAATTAAATAGATTCAACATCTTTCTTCAACAGAATTGCAGACTGCACAGATGGTACCTTCCCAAAGGAAAGAATACTATAACTTATAGGGTATATACTAGACTTAATATTTACTGAATACAATAATGGATTTCTATACATTTTACATCAGATGAAAACTTTGGTTGTAAAATTCAGATAATTATTTAGTAAAAGCTAGACATTTTAAATAAGAATAAGAAAGAAAAGTATTTCTTTGTGCCCCCTTTCCCTGTTAAGGCCCTACCTGGCCCCCCTGGTAAAACTTTGCTAGATCCGCCCCTGCACACGTAGCTGTCAGCTACTTAGAAAAGGATCCAGGTGTTATTTGTCTCTCAGAAACAGTTCATAACTTCCCTTCAACTCATTCATGTCACCTAAAAGGTAAACCTGTTTCTCCATCACCTGTTCAGCTCTGATGATTCAGTAAGGACGTCTCCTGGTTTCATCTTCATGTTTCCCTCTCACCACATGTACAAACCGATATCATGACCAGCAGCTTTTACAGCTGTGGCTCCAGCAAACATCAGCCGATACTAGAAAGTAATATTAAATAAATTCTAACAACATCTGATCAAACTTAAAAGTGCTGCTGTTGCTTAGAGTGACCTCCGGTGGTTTCCTCTTTCTGCCACAGAGAGAAAAGCCAATCAGCTGATCATGGATCAGTTTCATGATTGAATTAGCAACTTTCTAGCTGAAGTAGTATAGGACAAATTGTCTAAGGAGCTTGCAAAGAAAAGTGTCTGGACTTGTTTAAGTTGCTTGAAGACGTTTCACTTCTCATCCGAGAAGCTTCTTCAGTTCTAAGGTCAAATGGTGGAGAGTCCCAGATTTAAACCTAGTGGGAGTGTCCCCCAAAGAGGGACAAAGGACCCCCTGATGATCCAGCCGAGGTGTGAAAATGGGTGTAGGTCACAATCAGCCAGGGTTTCGGGTGAGCTCATTGTGAAACCTGGCCCCACCCTATCATGTGATTTCCTGAGGTCAGATGACCCAGGATGTGGGCCACCATTTGACCCTTAGAACTGAAGAAGCTTCTCGGATGAGAGGTGAAACATCTTCAAGCAACTTAAACAAGTCCAGACGCTTTATATACTCATTAAAGTATTATAACTGTATGTCTGTGAAGGTTCTCAGTCATCCAGGTCATCGTAGTCTAAGGAGCTTGGAAAGAAAAGCGTCTGGACTTGTTTAAGTTGCTTGAAGATGTTTCACCTCTATAACCACAATGTGTAGTGTCATAGAGGCAGGCACATGCAGAAATACTTAATGGCTGGAGGGTGATGAAGATTATGATCTTCATTTCAAAGGTGAGAAAAGGAAGGTGAAGACGAGAACAGAAGACTAGAAGTAGTGTAGAGAGAAGGAGGTGAGGTTGAAAGATGAAAGTGGTGGGGTGATGGAGGAAAGGTTAAGAGAACTACTTGTTTAAAGGAGAGAGAAGTGGAGAGAGGAGGAAAGAATAGAAAATTATGGCTCAGCCTGAGCTGAACCTTCATCTCCTCCACCTTTGTGTTGCTGGGAGATTTTTTTGCCTTTGGAAGCAGCTCCAGATGCAGCTCTAGTTCGAGGCTTTCTTCTCCTGCTCTTTCACCTTCTTCAACTCTTTTACTTTCCTTTGTAATGTTTCCTTTGCTTCTTTTTCCTGTCTTTTCAGCCATTTGAGGGCTTTTTTACACTCTCTCTGTAAGTTCAGTGTCTGCTATTTCTGTCTTAATTCCCATTACTTCCATCTTCTCCTCTACCAGTGTTGTCTGGACTTCCAACAATTCCTTCTTTCCATTTTCAGCTTTCTTCTTTGCACACAGTGTAAAGAGTTTGTCTTTGTAGAATGTTGTGAGTTTGTTTACTGAGTTTGTCTATTGTCACCTTCTTCTCCTTCAGGCTGCTTCACGTAGTTGCTCTTTCAGCTAGCAGATTTTCAATGGCCTGCATAAGTCTTTGTGAATCCTCTTTTAACTGGAAGTTCTCAGCCTGGGTTGCTTCTCAATCAATTCACAGATGATAGTTCGTGGAGCAGCGCTCACCAATCCTGTTGTTCACCTGGAAATGCAGCTACATTAGAGAAGTTCAGAGGAGTTGATGTTTTCTTCTTCTCACGTTGCCCGTTGCGGACTGTAGTTTCTATCTTGTTGCACAGCTACTTATGTAGACACACTTCTCTAGCAGTTGTAGAAGTGGTAATGTGTCCGCTTACTGACAAATCAGACAGTTAGGAGGAGCTAAAATTTTTAAATAGTGTCTCAAGTCTTTGTTTTCCTGAATGAAAATCAGTAATAAATACAGAGTCCTAAATGCAACTTTATTGCTTGATTTTTAAAACCTTGTGGCTGAAAATAAAAGTGTTGCCTCATTCATGTTGTTGCGTTAACAAAGTTGGGCGTCCTTGTATGGTGAGAGCAACACGTAAAAACGAAAACTATCTTTTGGAAATTTGAAGATGAATTTAAATGTCTCCCATGTCTTAACAATAAAGCTTTTATTTTTTAATTCACACAGTTTTTTTCCTGCCTTCAAACAGGCCACACTTTATTAATATATCAGCTCTTTTCCATTCTTACTGACCAAAACATTTACAGCACTGTAAACACAAAGATACTGTACAGCGCTTTACCTCTTGCACCTCTTATTTATCAGCAGAAGCCCAGTTACTTGCATTCTAATCTTATAGTTTACTCTTCCTTTGTAAAACAGCTGGGTTAACTTAGCAAGTTGATAATTAGTTGCTTGTGCCCACTTCTCCTGATCTCCTGAGTCAGGGTGTGTCAGTTCAGCTGGTAGAACGATACCCTGGGTGTGTTGAACCTGATTCATACCACAGGGCTCAGAGTTCTGCTGAACAGTCTATTTGTTCTAAAGTTTGAAACATGCTCTGCCTACACTGAACAGTACACCAAAAACATAAAAACCTCTCCTGTTGCCTAGCAAAAGCAGCTGTTAACCAATGGATGCTGTGAAAAGTTTTACTTTTTTAGGTTGTTTCAATGTTTATGAAAGAAGACATGTTCAAGTATCCCAAGCTGAGATGGAAAAGTAAAATAATGCCGGACAGTCACTGCAGGAATTAACATCAGCCATTAAATTTTCTTTAAACAGAGAAGCTGGGTCCACCTCAGGAAAGTTCAAGCAATCGGCACATTATTTCCTGCATTCTGGTGAACTTTTTCCCCAAATGTAATTTAACAGCTCAGAAGTGTTTCAGCTTATTTCTGCTCATGTTCAGAACTTTCTGTACTTTGCACACAGATCTGAGTTTTAGGACTCGCGTTCATCTAAACAAGTCTGTCTCAAAACAGGAAGCACAGAAAACATTATCCTAATAATAGGAAAATAACCATCACACCAATGTCACACTCTCGCCCTTTACATACTAGCGTCTCCATCACTGAGATCATAACAGCGATTTTTGTGGATGTGCATGTTTGTGCACGTGCTATTTCATCTAAGCCTCTGCACACGCACCAGATGATCTTTTGCTGTGCAGCTTTGCACTCATTCTTCATACTAATAATCATTTGTTCTTGTTATTCGCTGTTGGTAAACGCTCATTTGGGGCCCGCTGATGATTATGAGAAAGCGCCTTTCACTGGATGCCTTGAGCATCAGTGCTATCTGTGCACACCTCAATAAAAAGCATTTTCCCTTTCTTCTCTCTTTCTTCCCCACCTCATAAATATTATACAGTACAAGGCAGCAGAGAGCGACATGTACAGCAGCAGATAAGAGACGCACTGTTTGGGTTTAACACTTGAAAGTCCAAACTGACGTCAACTTGCTGATGTGACTGAACATATCTATTAAAGTGGCTCCTCTCTGAAGTGTGCCCACACATTCACTTTCTCTTGTTTGCAAGTTTAAAAGTCAAATATAAAAACAGCAGGTCCAATTGTTTATCTTGTGTGCTTGGAAAGGTTTGCATAACCTGTTGTGTTGTGAAATCTGCTCAGATCTCAAGGGTCAAAAAGAAGAAAGAATCTTGAGATCAAACTATTTAACAAATCCACCTGTCACCTGGCTGACCTTCTCACTGGCTGCCTGAAATACACAAAATGATGTTCTTGTATTTTCAGATGTTAAAGTAGTTTAAGTGTTTTATTAAATTTTCTTCCTGACTTCACCTGCTGGCTTCTCATGAACTCGTCTCATGAATGTGTCCCTTTTCCCAAGGCACATATTTCATGTTTGTTTTCATTTTAATAATTGCTTTATGGATAACTGACAAATTCAATATTTATTGTGCATGTGCAGCAATCTTTGAACATGGCAATCTCCTTACCTCAGTCGACATTTTGAAAAAGACTTTTTTGTTGTTGTTGCACAATGATATCTAATTTAAGAATTTCTACTTTCCAAACATGGCATTACATCCAAATGATGACTACGTGAATATGTTTGTTGCTTAAAGGTCAGAAAAGAAAAGGTGATGCTTTGCAATTGTTTTGACCAGCAGTCCAAATACCAGAGTTAAGTTCAATTTTCAAACCTGTCAGAATCAAACTAATTCAGTGATCACGTACCTAAGATGGCAATGACTTCGTCGTCCTGGATGACCTCCAGTGACCCCGACACCACGAAACAGAGGGTGTCAACGCTCTCCCCGGCGTGAAAGATCAGGTCTCCTGGAGCGCAGTGGGTGGTCTGAAACTCGACTGCCAGTGAGCGCAGGCAGCCATCACTAGCTAACCTGAATGCTGGATGTTCGTTGAACACCTGAATAAGAGAATCAGATTGAAGAGTTAGACTGGGAAAAAATGACCAGACAGGATGTGGTGCATTATACTGCTGAAAGAGGCCACAGCCATCAGGGAATAGGGTGTACATGGTCTGCAACAACGCTTAGGTAGGTGGTACGTGTCAATGTGACATCCACATGGATGGCAGGACCCAAGGTTTCCCAGCGGAACACTGCCCAAAGCATCACACTACTACTGCCAGCTTTCCTGTTTCTTTTCAGCACTGATGACAGTTTTTAGACCAAATTTTAAAGCAAGTTTTTCTTTCAACGCCTTTGGATTGCTGACGCTCGAGGAACACAGACACACTACAGCAGGCTTGGAGGGCTTTCTTTGCAAAAAAAAAAGTTCTCATCTCATAAGTGGACAAGAACACTTTAGATTTCGTTGCTTCCTCGTTTTACTATCTGCAGAAGTACACATTTTCTGATATCCTTGAGAAAATGAAACCGCTTCCACCCGGTGAGATAATCCATCAGAGCACCAGGAGAAGATTTTATTTGGTTTGTGCAAGAGTGTTTTTATATCAGTGCTCCTTGTCAATCACCTGAAGCCCTCAAGCAGAAATGTAAGCCTCCATCTGAAATAATCACTCAGAAACACATCTCTCAAACTTCAGTGTCGCGTCTTTGTGGTTTCGCTCTTGGAGTCTTGTTTTGCCAGGACAGCAGGCAGCACACCGTCAGCAAATTGCAGCACAATGTGAGTGCATGAAGTGGTTGAGGTTTAAGGGATACAACACCTGAAATGTATCTAGTGTGGCACCGTTAAAGTGTTCACATCAGCTGCTTCATATTAAAACTGAAAGGGAAGAAAAAAGGAGAGGTTCAGATTTTTCCTGTTTTCTTTTTGTTAATCACTTTGAAAAAAATGTGGGGCTTAATTAAAAATGTATTTGCATCTTAACCCAATCTTTGTGGGGGGAAAAGCAACTTAATGGACAGGACAGGACATGAAATACTGGTAAAAGTAAACAAAAATCTTGTTTTTTAAAAAAAAAAACCAACTAATTCCACTTCTTTTGTGAAATAAAACCAAAGCACAAGATCTTCTTCCTTTGAAACTCCTAAATGACATCCAGCTTTAATTTCCTCTTACAATTAAACAGAATGTCTTCTTGTCCTGTTTCACAATCTTTTATCATAGTCAAACATCCCTGAAAAATTAGATGTATTTGAAACGAATGTAGTGCGTGAGCTTTATTTCAGAAGAGACACTGAAAATCAGCCGCACTGCATGACAAGACTAATTTTAGTAACTTCTCACTAACTGTCATTGGAGACGGTTGTCACACAGCACAATTACCCAACTGAAGGTGTCCTCTGATCACGCCACTTTAGCATTTGACATCTCCTAGAGTTTTGAGAACAATATCATTGCATGTTAAGTGATATCTAAAAGACTCTGAGCACAATTAACCTTCACTCAGTTATAGAACAAAAGCTCCCGATGCTGATGCTGTATAGTCAAAAAAGCATAACATCTTTCGCTGCTTTGTATATGACCCACAGATATATTTGAATATACAAACCAGCAGCCATTCAGGCACTAGTGAACTATCCTGGAGATATACAATGATAAGTGGAGACAAACTTTCTTTATCGGAACAAAAACAAAACAGAAATTTTATTTCTATTCCCCATGCCTTTCTCTCTTTCCTTTACCCCCAACCGGTCGAGGCAGCCAGTCATCAATCCCTACAATCATCTGATTGTAGGGATTTCTCTTTTAGTACCATAGAGTCTTTACTTTATGGTACAAGGCACTTTGAGGCAAATGTTGTACTGATTTGGTGCTGTATAAATAAAACTGAATCAAAATTGAACTAAAGAACTGAAAGGTATGCCATGCTATGCCACAGAAACATCATGTCTTACTTCCCATCTGACATAAGACATGATAGTTGTCACTAGCAGCTGATTTTTCTGGAATGAGGGAAAACATTATAAGAACAAGTGTGTAATTGCTGCAGGTGTTTGACTTAAAGCTGTGCCAAAGCCTTGACTCCAAGTTTATGCTAAGCCCCAGCAAGAAAAAGACTCTGTCCTCTCTCAGCAGTGTGCACACGCCTCTCTAATCTCAACTTTGTTGCCAACCATATTGAAAGGTCTGCTAAAGTGTGGCTATTAAAGAGACTCAATCAGACACATACGGTTACATATCATAGCAGGAGCTTATTTTTCACTACCTTGAGACACACATTATCGCATCTTTCATAACTCAATTAAGCATTGTAACAGAACTGATGTATGGATATATGAAAATAACTGCATACCTTCCTGTTGAGATGGACACAGATGTCGGCCCGCATGTCCTTGGGACAGATGGATAAGACCTGTAACACAAGAAACATGAGAGGGTGACGTGGTAGTTTAGACTAACAGCACCTTCCTGTTGTCCAACGGCTTCCTTGGTGACCTTCTCTGGATGGATACCAGGCATCCAGCTAGTAGGAGAAGGAGAATCCCAAGTAGACCCTGAGATTATATGAACCTCATTTGACTTGGGTTCTCTGGATTTCCCAAGTCTTGAAAATGTTGTTGGGGAGATAGATTCAGGGCTACTTTGCTTTGGTTCATCTAGGCTAGGCAACAGACATTTTTAAAAAGAGGTCAGCGGTCAGGGACAGCTACACTGTAGCCGTCACCTTCCTCTGTCATACTACATCTGTCGGATTGTCAAGTAATTCAAAGTGTTAAGAAAAGAACGTTTGAAATTCAAACCTAAAGACAATAGGAAATCATTTAAGCTGCGTGATGTTTGCTTTCTGCCTTCTTATTGTTTTTGCAGTGAGACCTGTTGCATTCCTGTTTTTATTCTCAGACCACCTAACTAACTCTGCATGATTCATAAATTTAAAAACACATATCTTTATTTCTGTTGTGTGTGTCTTTACTCAACCACCCCAGTTCATGTTCTGTCTTAAGCAATCTGTAATAGCTCCTGTCTTTTAAGGCCACTCTGCCCAAAAACCTACTATTTCTGTGCTTGGCCGACTTCTGTATGCCTTCTAGGGGCAGCAGCCAGTTCTTGTGAGCTGTGGGCAGTAGTGGCATCACCTGGATGTCATAGGTGTGTTGTGCCTGGAGCAGATGACTGTATCACTGAAGTATTCCCTCTGAGGTTTTGGCTCACGAAGAATACTACATTTGTTTGCCTCATTATTATAAAGCACATTTTATCTGATTGTTCAACAATATGAGGATATGAGAGAAGCGTAACAAGGTTCCTTTTAAAAAACTTCTCATTGATGCCATGTGGCTGAGGAAGGGATTTGGAAGATAAATATTGCAACGCTCAATGCAGTGTTTTAGATTATGACAAACATGAGGTGTCTGTGCAAGGTGAAAGAACAATATATGTGCATTGAGTTTATTGAACATTGTTGCTGCAAACAAAAGCTAAATGGTAAATGGGCTTTTACTTATAATGAGCCTTTCTACTCAGTTTGAGCACTCAAAGCACTTTCTACTACAAGTCTCATTCACCCAATTACACACAAAATGCTTTATCTGACATTCACACAGATGCATCCTGGTTCAGTATATTGCCCAAGGATACTTGAGCACAGGGCTGTTGGTGCTAGGGATCAATCCAACAACACTCCAGTTGGCAGACACGCACTGACCACCACCTAACCCACAGCTGCTCCATCAGCCCTATCTTATTTTCATCCTGGGCAGTGTATTTGTAGTGTGATTGACTTGGATCAGTAGAAAGTCAGTTGCAGAAAAAGACCAGAGGCTTTCTTGCTCAAGAACACTTCAGCAGAAAGCAGATGCTGTCAGAGAAGATCAAAAACCTCAACTTCAAAGTGAAAGCTTATTTGTTTTGAAACCTGATTTTTCAGAAACTTCCCGTCTGCGTATGAGTGACAGATTTTATATTCCAGTTTGTTTAGTTGCATTCATTACCTCGCAGTGAAAACAACTGCAGCAAAGGCAGACTGTTAATGATAACCGTTTAGTGTAACTCATTACACACTTTTTAAAATCTGTCCCAATAAATGAAGTACTTAGCAAAATCAAAGAAAACACAATATCATCCTCCATAAATGCTGCCATCTTACATATGAACAAAATTGAGGAGTGGGGGAAACTTAAGAGAAAAAAGATATATAAAAGTATTTTATATTTTGTTTGCTCCATTTAATGTGGATCATACAGTATCAAGAAGCCTTTGGGAAACACTGGTGTTTTTGGGTGTGTACTCATATAAAGAGCTGACTATGAACCATATAACGGCTCCCAAAGTGACAAACTTATCTACTAATTGGTCTCAGCTCTGACAGTGAGGTATTTATCCAGAGAGCAGGAGCAAAACTAGCCTTATGTCTCTTCAAAAGTGTATAATTATCTGGGACTGATGAAGAAGAGGCTAAACTGAAAATAACGTTACTGGGAAAGTAAACTAAATGGGCAGAGAAAGAAGGCATGGACAAAACTTGAAAACAGGAAATAAATAAGAAGAAGATTACATGAGGCTTATCTTGGATCATGAGTTTATAATGTGCCAGTCTCCAGTTCAGCCAAAAAAACAAAAAAACAACAGGCTTTAATATTATTTCATATTTAATAAAGAACATAAAAATAAACAAAAGACAGCTAATCTGTCTAATATCCTCAAAGTTAAATCAAACTGGGGAAATTTCAAATCTCAAAGTCTCAAAAATGGAGGTTCAAACAGTATTATTGCAAAATGCAATATATGCATATATGTATGTATACATGTATGTATTTGGTTAATTAGCAACCAAGGCTTAATGTCTATGTGGTACAATTTTAGTACTTGGAAAAGAGAGCTTTTCATCTAGTATATATCTGGCATTTGGAACAGTTCTGTTCTAAATATTATTTATTATTTAATATGTATTTAATGGTAAATGATGTGGGGTGATTAGCTAACTCTGATATATGCACAAAGTATACAGGTATTGTGGTAGTGTGCTGAAATATCATCATGAAACATTATGCCTTTGGACCACTTTTCTATGGGCAATCGTCATAATGTGAAGATTTTATGTATGTGTGTTCCTTATTTCCTCCTAGATGAGAAGACCGATCTTGAGGAAACTTTGTATAAAGAAAATTAAATATCTAAATCACATATAAAAAATGTTTTATACAAGCTCTACAATTATATTTATACATTTGACAGGTCAGCTGAGTAGAGAATGGAATTTCAGATAAGAATCTTGTGCCATAATATAAGCGTGCACATATTTTCATGTTCTCTAGCCCTGTGAAGACCATGCACTCGCTCAGGGTAGTCAACTTGATGATAATGACAGTGAGGAAGAGTGGAACCCACAGTTTTAAGGTGCAGTTAGGAGGTAATGTGTGTGGGTAAGCACCAACATCTGTGCTGGTGTATGTGTGTTAGGAACATAGATAGGACTACAGAGGGGCTCATGAGGTACCAGGATTCAATAGTACTCCAAAAGTCAGAAATGTGATGTCCACCTCACATTTACAAGCAACTGCTTCCTGAAGTTCCACACATAACGGTTATTAATGCCACACACACACACACAAACACACACAGGTGTAAAATGCAGGGTTCATACAGCTTTTTCAGAGTCAAACTCAAGCATTTTTAAGCACTTTAAGGTCCATTTCAAGCTTTTCCAGCACATTACCAAAAAAGTATGCATGTTTCACTTCACATCACCTCAGTAAGACCATGTGAAAATTAAAACAAATCATATGAGGTTGACTGAAACGCTTTTGTTCCCCTTTTGCTAAAACATAGAAAAACACACCACACAAAATACTGCAAAACAAAAAGGCTGCCTTATATGTAGATAGTGTCGAAACTCAAAACGCACATCTCACTTAAAATTTAAGACGTGTAAATGTGAACAAATCCACTTGTTAGAGATATTAATCTCCTGTTGGAAAAAAAAACAACCCCACAAAACAAGACAACTGCACCAAAAACCACAAAATACTACACACCGCAGCCAAATTAATATCTCATCAGATATTGATGCTTCTTTCATATGTGACACAAAAAACAGGAGACAGATGTTTGTTTGTTTTTTAAAGCTCATCCATTCAAAATTAACTGTAAGATGTTTAACTACATTGCTGCTGTGTTATTGTTGAAGTCCTAAATTATCACCTTTAAAGTGTTTGTGCTAATAACATCATGTACAGTAAGACAGGCATGGAGAACAGCACTGACTGGGAGAGGCTTTGAACAGATGACATACTCAGTTCAATTCAACATATAAGACTTTAAGAATGCACAAGCATCTATCAAAAACCTATTTATTTAATCTATCATTTGTGAGGTTATTATGTACAATTATAATGTAATGTTCATCTGCCTTAAATAAACAGGCAGCCTTGAAGTATGAAATATTCATTTGTCTACTGTCTCAGTGGCTGATAGTGCCCCGCAGGCCTCAATGTGAGCTTGTAGCCATTATAATGTTGAAGTTGTTTAACGATTAACAGATTTTGAATGAAAGCAAGGGAACTTCGGTAGCACAAAAACAGTGTCTATTCTTTGTGCACATATGGATCAGTCATATTACCATTGTTTCCCACTAAGGTGTTGCCAAAGGCACCTAGTTAATGCTTGAAAAAGCTGCAGCAATAAACAAAAATATAATCAATATTCTATTTACTTGGTGACAACGCCGCTTTTAGCCTTCAATCAGAAAGCTTTAATTTGGCTAGTTAAGCATCGGGCTAACGCTTAAAGCTTTCACTTAAGGAAAGTCACTCACATTACTGCTACTGCTACGTAATCTTAGTTAGGTTCACAGCATATTCCATAAATTACCGTGCCATAACTAACTGTTATAACAGCGCTGCCATATTGCATCATACTGGGTGCATTTCAGTCATTTATACACATAGCTAGTTTCCTAGCTATGTGTAGCGTACACACTCTCGAAATAAAATACACGAATAGAACTTAAATTTAATGTATATAATCTTCACCAAAGTGCAGATGTCTGAAACAAAACGAGACAATAGCCTTTAATATGTACATTCCCAAATTTCATACATTTTGGGGGAAAAAATTAAGAGTCTTTTTTTTGTTAAGTTTCCTGACACTATATGTTTGTGTAAATTAGGTTAAAACTCATTTATATTCACTTTCATTACGGCACATAATACTGAAAAGAACACTTGTGTGTATTTTAAGATGTTTTCTCTTTGCTCTGAAAAAAATGTTATGTAGATTTTTATTTATTGATTGATTTACTTTAAGACTCTTTGAGAACACTGATACAGCAGCTAATTTTGAGACATATATGGGTAAATGCTCTTAAATGTACTGTTTTTGGATGTTATAAGCATCTATGACTATTAAATATAAAACCATCACTCTCAAGCTTTTGCTTCCTGACACATCACTTGATGCTTTGTAATCTGTATAAATGGCAAAAAGCGACACGGTGTCTGGCTTTTTCAATTCCAGCCCGGATGATTACTGTAGCACAAAATCCCAAATCTCCATAAACAGATGGCACATCAGTAATACATTAGCTTTACCTGACATGTTGCGTCTCAGTCTCACCTTTTCCGTGTCGATGCCTTTGGTCATGGACCAGGTGGAGACGATGTAGTCCATCACCCTCTCACTTAGACCCTTGGGAACTTGGTAGAGTTTCAGGAAATCCCTGACATTGTTGAGCATCTCATGGTAGCGATTGGTGTTGGCATACATCTGCTGGAAAATCGTGGTCACATTTCCAAAGATGGTGGCATAGAGCAGAGCTAGAAAGCAAGTAGGAGAAGAAATATGAAATGTATAAAGCGCTCATTTCAAAAACATTTGATGAAAACAATTATTTTGACTTGAACTAAATATCTGCTTACTGCAACACACCGAGCCAAAAATCTAATGTTTTAAAAATCCACCACAACATTTAAAGCAACTGGTCCTTCTAGATAGAAGAGTCTTGGCTTGGCAGACCTTCCAAACAAATCGTACTTGTACAGTCTTTTGCAATTTCTCTGAGCATGGCGCAGTCTGACCTTCAGTGAATTTGCTCTAAAGATTGAGGCATTGGGTTAATACCAATACTCCTGAATACTCCAGACTAGCAAAGCACCAAACCTCTGCTTTTATAGAGGTGATCCCAATCGCTGATGATCATTTAATTGGGTGCATTTGATTAGCAGAACATGGCTTCTACTTACCCTCTGACTTTCTATGGAAGAAGAGAGGGTATATTTAGTTTGTTACACTGCATAGAGTCCCAGGAAAACTTTCTTTTTCACATGACTGTAGGTACAGCTTTTGGTAACAAGACCCTTCTGCCAAGGGTCCGATGCGATGGACAAATGGAAAAACTTCAACAACAGGAAAAGTCCTGTTGTCTAAGATGAAAAAGGCAAAGATGACTTAGAGTGGCTGAAAACCAAAGAGGTTTGTGTTTGGCTTTGGTTTGTGTTAGGTATTATACTGAATAACAGCTTAAGAATTTAGATGTCTAGACAGTGTTTAGTTAGAAATGGCGACAGTGTAGAAGCTTCAAGGTGAAGGGACACCAAGTCCTATGATAAGGTCGGTCATCCAGACCCTGTGAGATAAAAACAGTATCCAGTCTCAGCCAGAATTACTCTCACGGTCATTAGAAGAACAAGTTATCAGGGAAGAGATGCGAGGAAGGGGAACACTTCCTCATTTAAAGCACTTTAAATGCCATGGCACTTTAAATGCCATGGTAGAGCAGAAAACTGCTACATAAGAACCAGTCCAGTTACCAAATATCTTCAGATGAGTATACACTTGTAGGAGAGAGCTGCATGACCTGAAAGACTTCAAAAACAACATTAACTTGGCATTATTTGAAGCAGATGGGTAATCACCAAAAACGGACTTTTTATTAGCCAAATACAAACAGATGTTTGTGACAGTGGCTTAGAGGGGTGCAGGTTTGAGTAATCATCTAAAGCCACTTACAAAAGTCAGGCAAACTTAGAGATCAGTGTTAGATGTATATTATATAATGTCTCCTGGTGATCAAGAGTGTTTCTCACCTTTGAAATTTAAAGCCATCATGCGTCACTGCTCAGCCTCCTCACTATCCTGCTTGTACTTTACTGTTTCCATAGAGACCTCACTCAAAATAGTTTTTTGCCTCCTCCCAGACAATACAAGTGACAAAGGAAAGAAAAAAGAAACAATAATTTGGAAGACTTCTGAAAAATCTTGTGGTTTGCAGGAGGTGGAGGGAATCTGACGACATGATGTGTGAGAATGCAAGGCTGGGGCAGAATGAATGTACAGTACAAAGGGGTAGTTTGTAAAGAAGGATCAAAGAGGCAAATGTTGGATTTTCTTGCAGTAACTGTGCATTCAAGATAAACTCTCTATATGGATGCTGTATGAGGTAGTGTAAAAATAGTAAATTAAAAAAACAAAGAAAGTGAACCAGAAACATGACAAAAACAAAGTGTGTATGTGTGCTTTCTTTTCCGCGGACAGTTTATCTCACAGAAGCAAGTCTACAGAGACACAAAAAGAAAAGAGTGTGTCTGAAAGAGAGACAAAACAAAGAATAAAAGCAGGACAGTCACACACATAAAGGTGTTGCATGTCAGTGGTGAGATAAGTCCTTCAAAGTCTGCTGCCTCCCAGCCTACAAAACCTTTCCAGGACCCCGTCAGCAATTCAGGAAGAATTCCAACAGCACATCTGGCCTGGAACTTAAGGTTCAGACTCACAGCTCTCCGCCCCCCAAACCCAAGACTTCTAATTGGCTGACTTGATAGCCCATAGGGAGGTAAGTGTCACCTCAGAACACAGAAAGGCAATGGTTTGAAGGTTAATTCAACCTTGGGATATCAATTTCTAGCCAATTTTATTTTATCTAAAGTAGTGACATGTGGATGTGTGGATGGGTATGAAGAGAAGCTGCAGAAGAAATCTGTGTCACCACAGTAAGTAACCACAGTGCAAAAACTATTTGGGATGAAAAGCTAATTAGTAGCATTCATCAGGTGTAAATGAGGTCTGGCTATCAGCACTTTGGAATACTGGTTGTCAAGGAAGCTCGAGACAAATAACAGGGCTCAAATTAAAACAGACTGCCAAAGAATTGAGCCTCCAAAGGTACAAAAGCAAGATATTCAGGAGTCTTTAAGATAAGCACTTGAACTTATAGTGTTAACAAAACAGTTTAAATATGTTGAGTTTACAATTTGGGTACTTTCTCCTTTGCATTTCTATAACAGTCAAAGTCTGTGTTGACTTAAGCACATTTCCATAGCTTATACAACCTGCCATGGCTTGAGTTTGGCCTGTGGAAATCAACCTTTTGAAGCTCACCACAATTGAGTCAGTCAAAGAAAGTCAAGAACTGGAATCATGCTGTTAAATAATATTTGCACCATATTTATAAACTAGTGTATAAAAATCTTGACACTAGGGCTGCTCAATTAATCAAATTTTAATCACGATTACGATCTGGGCTTTCAACGATCATTAAAAATGACTGAGCCGATTATTAGCCCCTCCCTCATTTATCCGCGACACCTTAAAGGCCGGTCCGTGAAAATATTGTCGGGCATAAACCGGTCTGTGGTGCAAAAAAGGTTGGAGACCGCTGATTAAGAGGACCCGAGGGAAGCTCGGAAAGCTAAGCAGAAGTTATTTGGAGAGGAGAGTGACTGCCGTTGGTTGAAAAGAGAGGTAAAAAAAACGTCACACTATTTTATATTATTTTTTTAAAGTCATTATTCAATACATTGTTATTGTTAACCCTTTAAAGCCGGTCAGAGCAGCATGCTCCGTTTTGTGTAACTATTTTTAAATCCCTGTAGAACCTGAACCGTGTAAGCTAGCGCAATATTTTGTTTTGCATATGAAACCAGAGGAGTTGTACTTACATCTGATGCCATCAGCTTGTCCTCCGTCACGGTTTCCTTCCACATAAAGCTTTGCAAAAATTGCATAAAAAGCGCTTGCAGGAACAAAAACATAATATTCCAGAAACACGCTTTGCCGATCCGATCAGCTGTTCGTAACACTTCCCACAGTGAAACAGACGTCAGCAGTGTTGCCAACTCCTCAGTAAGGAAAATCGCTATTGGTTGTCCTAAAAGTCGCTAGAAGTCGCTAAATGACGTCATCGCCTAATTTGCATAATTGGTCATGCTAATCTAATTGTAACCTATGTTGTTGGAGAGAGAAATAACATCGTGGAAGAGACATAAAGTGAGTAAAAAACGTCCTAAATGCATTTAGAGTTTATTTAGAACTATAAATTAAATTTCTTTTAGCAATTATTGTTTTTTTTAATGTCACAATTCCAACCCTGCTCCTTTACCCGGGCTTGGACCGGCAAAAGTGACCCGAAATAGGCACTCTGGTGGAGTTACTTTGTGTGTGTTTATAAGTAGTTTTAAACCTTGTGATCCACAAAACAGCATAAGAGTAAAAGAAGAACTGACTGCATTACAGCACCCGCTGCTTGTTCAGAGTAAAAGCAATACGTGCTTTCACGTCTTTTTTTAGCGGGTCTGAAAACTGCTAAATATAGCGACAAACTTGGCAACACTGGACGTCAGCGCGAACTATGGCATGTCCGCCATTTCCTGCCCGAAACCAGAAGTGACGTCATTTTCGCGGAAAATGAAGTTTTTTACTTGTAGGCCTTAAATGCCTATACTGGTGTTTTTATAAGTCATGTTTGACTTTTCTGAATAGTTTCTGGGATGCTTAGAACTCGAATTGCACTGCTGGAAATAGTTTATTTTGATCCACCTGCTGTTTTCTTTGCAAACTTGCATCATAGGAATGTTTTTTCGTTTTTCCTGCAGTATATAAATATCGCTTTATCTCCAAAATAAAACTATGAAGACACTCAAAATAAATTTTCCTGTTGTTGTAAACTATTTTTTGCAACTTTTTTGTATTTAAAGTTTTGAGGGATAAACCTCTTAAATTTCTCCAAGTAGAGATATATGTTAAAAAAACAAACGATTTTCAATTTTTTTGTAGTTTATTGCACTTTTTTGCAATTAATGTAGTTACTATGGACTTAATGCATACATATTATTAAAATATGGGCTATAACAGTTGTATAGCAACTTGAAATGCTCCCACAAATGGCACTACAACATGTAAAAAAATAATATAAGCTCTGGCGGACTTGGTTCTATAGTAGGTCGTAAGGGTTAAATAAATATCGTCAAATAATCGAGATCTCAATTTCAGTGACAATAATCGCGATTATCATTTTTGCCATAATCGAGCAGCCCTACTTGACACAAAGTTTTAAGAGTTCTGTCGATGAATCATTTCCCTGAAAACTTGGCTGACTCCATCTATTTTGCCAAAATTTCCTTGCAGCAACTCAAAATAGCACTCATTAGTTTACATACATGAGAACTCCAAATGAGATGATAAATGGTAAACTGAAGGATCTCCACCAGATCTGAACCAGAGCATCACAGAGCTCGTGGACAGTCTGAGATACAACCTGGTGACGTTGAACGGAGCAAAACATATCCCAGAGGTGTTCCAGGACAGGATGAAATCCTTGGACCCAAGGTTTCATCCATATAACTAACGGCAGTCAGGGTTCTATTGCACAGCCTGTTGAAGTCTGTGTTCCCTCCATGGCTACGTCCCACCAGACCATCAATGACCCACCACCAAACCGCAGCATAGCATTCTCCACGGCTTCGCCAGACTATTTCCCATCTGTCACATGTGCTCAGGGTGAACGTACTCTCATCCGTGAAGAGCACAGATGGTGGACAAG